GAATATATGATAATAAATAAGATATTATTAATAAAGATTATTAAATTTATAATATTATTATATTTAAATTATTATTTTATCTTATTATTATTTAATTCATTAATTTATTAGTTGTTTATTAATTCATTTTATTAATTTTATTAATTAACTTCTTGATTTTAACTAAGATATATTACTTTTATACATTTTGGAGATTTTACAAATAATACTTTGTTATGATCTAAATGTTACTTTTGCTAATATCATAATATTAGTTTGTTATAATAGTATTATTAGTTTTACTATGATAGTTTTGCTAATTTTACTATGATAATTTTATTATGAACATTATGCTTATAAAACTATTTAAAAATATCTATCAATAATATTATCTTAATTATTATTTAATAAAATATAACTAAATAATTATTCAATAAAAATGTGAGTATAAAATAACTAATATTAATAAATTATATAGAAAAAATCTATATTATAATAATATATTGAAAATATAAATGAAATATCATTATCTTTTGATCTTTCTTATTTAATAATTCTTAAATAATATGATATCAAAATAGTTAATATTCAAATAATAGAATATGAAAGAGCTTATTTTATCATAATTCTTGGATATCTTGCTAATAATACAAAATTCTTTTCTATATATATCTTTAAACTAAAAAATATCCTGTATAAAACTTTTCTTAAAAAGTTATTATTCAAGTTAATGAGAAAGAATAATATAATAAATAAGAGATAAATTATTAAATTAATACTATTTAAATTAAATATAATAAGATAAAAACTCAAAATCTTTTCTTATTTTAGATTTATTTTGAAATTATTTGATTAAATTAGTTAAATAAAATTTTAAAAAAAATAATATTTATCTTCTAGTAAATTTTAACTACTAGATATTATTATTAATAAAAGTTTTAAATAAAAGATAAATTAATTTTTTTATTATATTATTATTATATAAAATATATTTATTAAAATTTTAATTTATTAGATATATAATTATTATAATAAATAGATAGCTAATAAAGTTTATTAATTAATATTAGCTAAATATATTCAAAAACTAATATATATAACTATTATATAATAGATTAAAAAATTATGAGATAATATTAATTTTAATTTAATTAGAAAAGTATTCAAATATTATGATATTTTGATAAATATAAATAAATAAAAGATGAATTAGTTTTTGATTATAAGAATTTAATAAAAAAAAATAGTAAAGAAGTTTTGATAGTTGAGTTTATTGATAAAGAAATATATAATAAATAGAAGATTATAAAAATAATTAGATAAGTAAAAAATAATTAGAAATATTAAATAAATAAAATTTTATTGTTATATTTGAATATTTTTTATTATATAAAAGTATAATACTTTGAATTATATTATATATAATACTTAGATATAAATCAAAAATTAAATTTAAAAATTAATACAAAATATAAATTATAGAGAGATATACTAGTTAGTAATTTATAATATTCTTTTATATATTATTAAGTTATAAAATATAAATAAATTTTATGTAGTTATTTAAATTTTGTATTACTCATATTTAATATAATAAGTTTTATCTTTATATTTCTCTTTTATATTCTTCTTATTATTATGATCTAACTTGCATAAAGAATATAATATCTTATTAATAATTTCATAATAATCAATATTTTTATCATTAAATTTATAAAATATTATATTAGAATATTGATTTAATACTTTTTTATAAAATTCACATGATTATTCTTGTAATTAATATATTTTTTAGATAGAATTTTCTTAGATTGAGATATAAATAATATATTTAATATATTTATCTTAGCTAAATTCAAGTCTTATCTTCTTATTTATATCTTTAATATATTTAAATCAAAAGTTAATGATTTGACTAGAGTATTTACTTTAATCTTTAGAAATATATGAATTAATTATAACAGATTTATTATAGTTTTTGAAGTTATATGATCTATTATATTTTGAATTTAAGTCAAAAATACTACTTGCGCTATATGTAATTAGTTTGATTTTAATAATATTTATTTCTTTTTTTCCAAATAATTTAAGAATTTTCTGAACTTTCTAAATTTTTTTAGGTAAATTAATATTTGTAATGCAAAATAAAAAAGATTTTATTTTCTTATATATTTTTATTTATACTATTTTATTCTTAATATTATATTAGTTATAAGATTTTTAATTTTATTTTTGAATTTAAGAGAATAATAATATCAAAATAAAATTTTTTCTTGATTTTTTTTAATCACTTTATCAAATAAATATAATAAACTTTCTGCAAAGTCTAGAATTAAGTTTTTCATATTCTTAATATAAAATTTATTAATTTCATTATTTGAGAATGTAAAGTTACTTGACAAGTTACTTCACATTGATTCTGAATTAATTCTTGAATTAAACTTTGTTCTATAATTTGACTTGTATCAATTACATTAATTTCATTATTCTATTCTAATTCTAATAATTTGAAGATATTTGTATATATATAATCTGATTATAATAAATTTGTCATGATTTTCTCAAGACTTTCTAAATCACATAATTCTGATTATTTTTCAAGCTTATAATAGTCAAATTCTGAGTAATCAAATCATGTTGAAGCTTCTTCTTATTATATTATCTTATTTTAATACTAATACTTTTCTTATGTATCTCATTCAAGAATTTATCCATCTCTCTTTCCTCTGGTAACTTGAAGTTAATCTTTGGTAACACTTCTGATATCACATCATTTGCTTTATAAACAAGTGCATATTGCTTGAGCTGATCTACTATGGAATCATCATCAGCAGATATTTCTGGTAATATCTCTGGTATATCTTTCTTAGATGCATTAGCATCCTCACTCCATGAGTCATTCTGTAATTGCCCATCCATTGTCACAGAACTGTATTCCACTACTGCAAGCCTAGCCTCAAGCTCTTTATTCTTTTGCTCTAATTCCTTGACTCTAACATCACACTTTACATTCTCAATAATCTGCTTCAGCTTCACATTTTCAGATTTAATCTCAGCAAATTTCTTTTCAAGTTTGGGAATCTTGGCATTCTCCTTTCTAAGCTCAGCAATCGTGACAATTAGTTGAGAATTTAATTCTTGCAACGAATCAATGGTGTGAATATTTTCCATTATTTTTATAAAATACGGGTAT